TTTCAATTCGGAATGGCGTCTATGATTAATTAAATCTACACAATCATTTCGTTAATCACATCTTAATCATGATTAAGAATTTACTTAATCATGATTAACTTTTTATTTAATCATGATTAAGTTGTCACAGTTAATCACGGCGACATCGTGATTAAGACAACAACTTAATCATCATCGATGATTAATTAATCAATTGCACAATCACTTAATCATGATTAATAGCGATTAAGTGATTAAGTGGTCATATTAATCATCGCGAATTTTAGGTGTTTGATTAAGATTAATTAATCTTAATCAGATAGTCCGCCCATCTGTACCTGAGGCTAATTTTTTTTGGTGCTCTTTGAATTTTTTTTGAAAAACTTGCAATTTTAACTTTGTTTCAAACGTTTCATTCAAATAATAATTTTTGTCGCTATTAGCAAAATTTTGTGGTTTATATTTTAAATGCGAGCGGCAGCGAACAAGATTTTTTTTTGAAAAACCGCACTTCTTGGAGCACCATAAAAGACTTTTCAGAGCATCACAATTTTTAGGCACAGCTCTTTGGGGCATCAAAAATTCATATTCGTGGACTTTTCCCAACATTTTTTTTTAATTTCCTCTCTTTGTGGTGCCCCTAAATGCATGGTGCCCTGAGGCAACTGTCTCAACCGTCTCCATAGTTAACTCAACACTGGTCTACGTATTTTCTAGTAGTAGATGCTCAATAAAAAAAAGTACGCTAAAAATATTCGACATGTATTCCATTTTCACGCTTACGCTTATCCAGATGGAAATTCAAATCTAGGAAGATGTCCCAAATTGACTTCAGGTTGGACGTTTTATGTAGAAACTACATTGTAGTTTAATGTAGTGTTTTTATACCGCTATATAATGGAACAACTCAAATCTTAGTCAAAAAACGTATTTTCCACAAATCAAGATAAATTGTAGAATTCAAATCAGTCATCCGACTCTTGATGTTCAACAATTCATTTGGCTACAGGAGCTCAATGAAGCAGCGGACTTGTCGGCACACTCGTGGATTTAGCATTTCACTTGCTTTGGCGATTCGTGAGTTGCCGAAGCATCATATATGCAGTGCACTCGATATTTAACGTGAAAACCTATATTCGGTACATCGAAGTTGGCCGAGGTATGATTTCGTTTACGCGTCGCGTAAGCAATTCACTTGCGATATAACGTGAATCTCTATATACTATGATGCTTTGGCAACTCACGAATCGCCAAAGCAAGTGAAATGCTAAATCCACGAGTGTGCCGACAACTCCGCTGCTTCATTGAGAGAGTTTATATTTCAATATGGGAATAAAACTGCTATGCATTCAAATTCAATCGTAGTGGCCACTAGACGCTTCTAAAAAATAATTCCGG